GCCGAGTGTTTACACTCTCAGCTGGAAGCGCGCTGGCGTGGCCACACGAGCAGCTCTTGCAGCGCCACAAAGAGCAGTGCATTGTGATAGCTATCCCAGCATGCAAGTGACTGCAAAGTGCTTTTCAAATGCAGGGGGTGGGGGTGGAGTGTGACAGGGAATGTGTTGTGTGTATGTGGAGGCAGAGAGAGTGGGTTTTGGGGGGGCTGAGAGCGTGTCAGCATGCTGTCTTGTAAGCTCAGACAGCAGGAGACCTCCTTCCCCTCTCTATAACTCCACCCCCCCCCCCGGCCCCTCTCTCACTCACTCACTGAAAGCAGGCAGCATTCCTCAGTGATGGTTCCTTTGTCCCAGAGCAGATAAGCAGCCAGCTGTCAGAAACAGAGCTTTGAAAGGGCAAATCTGCATTCCTACAGTGAGTTCAAAACAATGACAAGAGTGGCCACTTGACTTAAGGGGATTATGGGACATTTCTAGAGGTCAATCAGAGCACAGTAATGCAATACCTCATTCACACTGGCGCTGCGGCCCAGCAAACGTTATTCCACTAGCCGAGGTGGAGTACCAGCAGCACTGTAGCCGTGAAGTTAGAGCGCTCTATATACCTTGCCAGCGTGGATGGGTAGTGAGCGAATGCGCCCGGGGCTCCTTTATTCCGCTGTAACTTGCAAGTGTAGCCAAGCCCTTAGGCCTTGTCTACAACAGAAAGGGTTTGCTTGAAAACTGATCTTGGTATATATAGCTATACCAGCAAACCCTCCAACAGAGATGCAGTTTATACCAGTAAAGGGGTTCTTTCGCTGGTATAACTTACTACCAGCTTCCCCAACTAAATAAACTATGATGCAAAAGCACATTTGTGTCAATATAACTGCATCTTGCATTCGGGCTTTTGCCAGCACAGTATGTCTGTTAGGGATGTGATTTAAAAACTTTTTTTTTTTTTTTTTTTATTAAAGCAACACTCCTAACTGACAGTTACACTGACAAAAAACTTTTAAGAGTAGACCAGGCCTTAGGTATTTATATAATGACAATTATTCTTAGTTGTAGCGATCAGAGCTTGGCTTGTATGTAAACATTTTATTTGTTTTGTATTTATTTGCTTAAGTACACTTTGTTTAGAAATGCCTACTATACCTCTTTGTTGAGACAAAGAATCTAGAGTAATTCCAGAAGCAACAAGTTATAAGTGGCTCTGGTAAAGATTCTACATTCAAATAAACACAATGACTTGGATGTTAATTTTGTATTAGTACAAAGCATTAAAATTAACAGAACAGCTATTACAGGTAGTTTCCTACAATACTGTGCAAAGGATTGGGATTCCTCAGTCACTATTACCATTATAGCTCACTCAATGATTTGCTGTAAGCTGAAGTCTGATGTACAAAGTCTATGGCAGAAGTATCTGCTCCATTTCAAATGGCAAAAAAAATTCATTTGAGCGATAGCAGTATAAAATTTTTTGTAAAATATAGTCTTATTTCTAAGTTCATCTTCAAGACTCAGAGCAGCTATATGCTCAGGATTAAAAAATGTAACTAGGTACTAGCACCTTCCTGAAAGCATTTCCTAGGATTTTTCCTCCTCTAACACGGTCTCTTTATGCAACTGTAACAATCAAATTTATACAACAGTACATGGTCAGGTCAGAATTTAATGGTTCTAACTCACTAGAAAATATTCCTCCCCCTTAAAATTAAACAGGAATCAGTTATTTATCTGATTTTGCCTTGTGGATAGGGAGATATCATGGAGTGACATTGCACCCCATAATGCTTTATAGAAATATGCATATGAGGGTAAATATGACACAACTGGAATATGTTTTATGCTAGATATGCCATGTAACATATCTTTACAAAGGTTATGATCTACTGAATATATTCATCCTATTTGTATGCATGTATCATTTTTATATCTGAAGTTATGATGCACTGGCTCTATGCTTGTATTTAAAGTGTCTGCTGTAGGAAGCCCCCAAGACAGATTTGGTCAACATAGTGTGAAGGAGTTATTCCAGTAATTGGGAGAACTTAACTAACAATGGACTTTGGGAGACGCCAATCCACATCTGAGTTTTTCTGGGAACATTCAAACGAACATGTAAACAATGGCGTCGGCCTGCAAAAAGCTGAATCATTCATAGACATGTGACTTGCCCAGTTGGCTAGAGACACCATCTTGTGGCTGTGAAGTTGCACAAGAGAAAGACTATATAAGGCCCTGGAAACCCCTCCATTTTGTCTTCAGCTGGATAGATAGCCCCTCCACCCCAAAGAGATGCCTGAAAGAAACTGGAACAAAGGGGTGTGAGCAAGGGCAGCAGGTTTGTAGAAATTTTGGTGGTGCCCAGAACCCCCCCGTCCCGCAAACTCCCCCCACACACCTGCCTAAGGCTCTGGGAGGGGGTCTGGGGTTCAGGCGATTGGGGTACACGAGGGGGTGGGGATGCAGACTGTGAGAGGGAGTTTGGGTGCAGAAGGGGTGAGAGGTCAGGCTCTGGGAGGGAGTTTGGGTGCAGGGGGTGTGAGGGGTCGGGCTCTGGGAGGGAGTTTGGGTGCAAGCTCTGGGCTGGGGCAGGGGATTGGGGTGCAGGGGGGTGCAGGCTCTGGAAGGGAATTTGGGTGGGGGAGGGGGTCTGGAGTACAGGCTCTGGGAACAAGTTTGGGTGCTGAGTGCAGGCTCTGGGCAGGGGTGCAGGAGGGGGTGGGTGTGCAGGCTCTGGGAGGGAGTTTGGGGATAAAAGTAGGTCCAGGGGAGGGGTGGGAGTGGAAGAGGGAGTTAGGGGGGAAGGGGTGCGGGGTGCAGGATGGGGGTGCAGGATAGGGGTGATGGGTGCAGGCTCTGGGAGGGAGTTTGGGGGTGAGAGGGGGTGCAGGGGTGGGGGTGCAGGAGGAAATTTGGAGGCCAAAGGGTGTGTTTGCGGAGGGGGTGTGGGTGCAGGCTCTGGAAGTGGATGGGGGGGGTTCGATGCTTACCTGGGGCACCCCCTCCGGCAGCAGCTCCTAGGCGGGGGGGGTCTCCTCATGCTGTTGTCTCCAGGCACTGCCCCTGCAGCTTCCTATTGGCCGCAGGGGCGTTTGGGGTGGGGGCAGCGCACAGCAGCACAACCCCGCCACATGGGCTGCAAGGTCTTGCTGGCAGCCATAGTGGAACGAGCGTGCAGGAAGCCCCACTGCGCTGCTGGGTGGCGGCGGGAGCCCCCAGGCTGTATTAAATTGCCCGGGGGCGGCAGGTGGGCAGGGAGAAGCGTGGGGGGAGTGTGTGTGTGGGGGGGGGTGGGAAACTTTGCTGGAGACGGGCCCGTGGGACAGGAATATTCCTGGTGCCCAGGCACCACGGGTCCATAGAACTTGCTGCCCATGGGTGAGAGTGATTGCTGGACCCAGACTAGGAGAAAGTCTAGTCTGTAAAAGAAGCTTATTGGAACATCTCTGAGGGGGAGATTTACCTGCATTTAGTTTTGTACTGTATTAGGCTTAGACTTGCGTGTTTTATTTTATTTTCCTAGAATCATAGAATATTAGGGTTGGAAGAGACCTCAGGAGGTCATCTAGTCCAATCCCCTGTTAAAGCAGGGTCAACATTGACTAAATCATCCCAGCCAAGGCTTTGTCAAGCCGGGACTTAAACATTTTTGCTTGGTAACTTACTTTGTTCTGTCTGTTATTACTTGGAACCACTTAAATCCTACTTTTTAATATTTAATAAAATCACTTTTTACTTATTAATTAATCGAGAGCAAGTAATTAATTCCTGGGGGAGCAAACAGCTCTATCAGTGTTATAGAGGGCGAACAATTTAAGAGTTTACCCTGTATAAGCTTTATACAGAGTAAAATGGAATTATTTGAGGTTTGGACCCCAATGGGAACTGGGTATCTGGGTGTTGGAGACAGGAGCACTTCTTAAGCTGTTTTCAGTTAAGCCTGCGGTTTTTGGGGGGATGTGGTTCAGACCTGGGCCTCGGTTTGCAGCAGGCTAGTGTGTCTGGCTCAACAAGGCAGGGTACTGAAGTCCCAAGCTGCCAGGGAAAACGGGCTTAGAGGTAGTCCCAGCACATCAGATGGCAGTCCCAAGGAGGTCTTTGTGACCCAACCCATCACACATGGTAAATACCTCAAGAGGGATTTGAAGGAGGAGGAAGTACTAGCCTTACACATGAGTTCAGAAAGCGTGTTTCATGAGTAAGGAAGCAGACAAGGCTGGCATCATTGGCAGAGGGGAGGAAATGGGCATGAGACCCACACAAAATGAGATTAAACAGGGAGGGGGAGAGTTACATGAAGGACCTTAAAAGTGAGGACAAGAAACTTGAATTTGATGCAATGGAAAATTGAAGTGCCAGTGGAGATATGCAAAACATGGTGAAAGCTCTGGGCAAAAAAGCTTGGCAACTGCATTTTGTATGAACCAAAAGAGGAAGATGTGAGTGTAGGAATATCACAGGAAAGAGGCTGCAGTAATTAAGATGTGAGACAAAGCCTGGAGGAAGCTTTTCAGCTGTAGGAACTAAAAGGAAAGATTGGATGAAGGAAGAAAAATAGCAAGATTTGAGCTCCATAACCCCAAACTCCCATGACAGTTATGTTCAACTAAAACATTTAAACTGTCAATTAGTTGGAGGGGACTTGTGCACAGAAGACAGAACTTTCACAGGAGTTGGACAAAGTCTATAGAACTCACTCTTGAAAAAATGACCATGAAGCTCATCATTTTTCAGAAATAAATGCAAGACTTATTTCTTAGACTTAGCTTTTGTGCTACCTGTTAACAGAAATGTTGAGGAAAAACACCTGTTAATTAATCAAGCTAATTCTATGGGCTGTGAAAGATAGATATTTTTAAAATACTGGGGAAGTGTTTATACTGTCATGATAGGGGGTTCTCATACACACAACATCCATGTATTATAATTCACACTAATATCACAATTAATTCCTGGCCAAATTCAAAAGGCCAGAGCTACTGGTAGACCTTTCAGCTTATACTTACATTTTTTGCCGTCATGTCAGACAATATTTCTTTATATTCTGTAAAACCATAAGTTATCCTTTTTCATCTTCAAAATGTACATCCTGTTAAAAAGACAGATTTTAACACCTTATATAATTAAAATGGATTCCTGAAGTACATCACTAATTTAATGTATTACCCCATAGACTGTAAATGGGTGTCTTGGGTGGTGATAATTTTCAGTGACAGACTAAGCATCACCTTGAGTCACATTTTGCAAGGCCGCTGGGAATGTAACACGGTTTAGGATAGCTATTAACGGTAAAGAGGTACCAAGTATATCATAAAGGCCTAACTATACTAAGCACTACTACTACTAAAAAAAGAAGCAGGGTACACTATTAGTAAGTGTTGAAACCTGAATTCAAAATTCCTGAATTGGTTATAGTGGGTGCACACTAACCCTAAACTGAAACTGAATGAATTCTCTCCATAACTGACAGATGTTCTGTAGGCCACCCAAGGACTTCCAGCAAAAACAGCAGAGAAAAGAACTGAGATTCCAGATTTCACAAACAAAACCAAAAGAACATGCTTGTGGCATTTTTTTTTCAGGCCTCCTTTCAGCAAGAAAAAGTACAAACTCAGTTCTCTCTCATCTCTTTCAGGTCTTTAAGAAATGAAGGATACTTACTTATAACTGGAATAGTCACACTCACGGGAACATGCCTGCCAATGTAGCCTAGTCTGTGGAACCTTCTCTAAGCAGTGCCTGTTGAAGCGCTCGCATGCCCCCTTCCACTCCTCCTGTCCCTATTTGCAAACGTTCTGAGAGTGAGGCTATAAAAAGGGGGCACACAGTGCCCTCTACCACCTCTGTTCCTTCCACTGTTGTCTCAGAGAAACTATCTGTAAAGACTCAAAAAGAAAAGGAGGGCAGAGAATGTGAAGGAAAAAAAAATACATCTCAAAGAACTCTGGCTGTAAGTAACCAACCTTCATTTTTTCTTTGAGCGGCCTCTGCATATTCCCACTCATTGAATCATTTGGAGAATACCAATTTGTTGGTTGTTATCAGACTCCAATGGCTTGCAAAATGAGTCAGACTGTCCCCAAACAAAAGGGTAGGAAAGACTAATGCCGATTAGCTGGCCACACTTGAGTCTCATGTCAAATTTGAGTTCTCCAATTCAACAATGATATAGTAGCTGAAGACTACTTTGACTTTGAGGTTGAAATGACTTTCTTCTGCTGGGTCTGAGAGGAAGCAGGCTGTTGATGCCTGTGTGACAAATAAAATACCGAGACAATGGAGGATTACAGAATTGCCTCTGATACCTAAATGAAAAAGTAGATTGTCTTCTTCCGGAAGTAGAATATAATCCAAGAGAATGAGCAGTCAATCTTGTCTTTTTAAAAAAGTCTCCAAAAGATCAGTTTTATTACTGACGTCAGTCACCATAAAAGCAGAAGGTCCTCAACTTTTAATTTTAGCTGTGTAGCTAAAGCAGAAGATCTTAACCAAGCATATCTTCTCAACGTGACAGTAGATGATAAAGCTCTAGCACCAGAATCCAAAGCATCAAAAGAGGCTCTAAGAGCATTCTATAAGTGGTCCTCTTATCCCATAAATGAAACTCAGAATAGGACACAGCAGCCTGATATTAGCTATCCTAATACCAGCCAAAGAAAACATCTTCCTCCCTAAGGCACCCAATTTCTTTCCCTCCCTGTCGTAGGGTGTAGAATGTGCTTGGCTTCCACCATACCTGTTGCTCATAGCTGCTACCACTAAAGAATCTGGAATGGGATGAGTAAGAAAATAAAAACACCTTATGTGGTAACTGGTACAGTTCATCAGCTTTTTCAGATATAGGTTGACAGGAAGCTGGAGTGGCTCAAATAGCTTTTTGTAGGTTGTAAAAGACTATTCAAACTAGGCAAAAATACTCTGTTTTCTGAGGGAGCTCCCAAAATATGAGAAACAGGATGTGATGCTTCCTCCACTGTCACAGAAAATAATTAACAATAAAGGAATATGATCAAGGTTGTGGAACTGGAGAGTATATTCTGAAGATGAAATTATGCCCACATTTTCATTCTGGGAAGAATCTGTCTGAATCACATTCTCTGACTGCTGCTGTTCCATGTGCTCAACTACTTTCTCATCTTCCTTTGATAGGATATCAGATACTACAGTAGGAGTAGCAGATTCATCTGCAGCTACTGGATCCCAGAGGTCTTGATCTGATTTTTGGAAGCAGGCACACTTCTATATCAGCCATACTGGGGAGATCCCATAAATTCCTTACATGGGGGCCAATATGGCTACGGAGCCTGTCAGAACCCCAGTCTGGAAACATGCCCATAGGATGAGGAGATCCAAAAGATCCACAAGGTGGAAAAAATCCTGACCTAAGTGGTTGAAACCTAGGCTCTTTGGGTTGTTCGGATCCTCTTCGGATTGCAGATCCGATCTCAGATCCATAACAGATTTTTTTGTTTTTTTGACAGCAACAGAACCTGAGAACAAGTCAGTCCTAAGGGAGGAAAAGATTTGCTCAGGGATCCCTTTGGAATCTTGGGAAGAGGCAACAACTATGGAGAAAAAAGACAAAATGTCGTCTGACCTGCCCCTCTTCTCAGGAGTAGAGGCCCAAGAAATAACTATCAGAACCTCTCTCTCTCCCCCCCCTCACCCCCCCACAAGAGAGAGCCTCCAGATCCAAATGAGAAGACTCATTTCCCTGTGGTAGACATTGATAAGCCTTTATCAGTTCTGATATTGATGCTAAAACCAATACTACTGTCTATGCCAGTCTCATGCCTTTAGACATCTTTGGCTCCAAGAAAATCCTAGTATTTGCAACTTCAGCTGTTAGGCAAGGTTTGCCTTGTGGAAACAATCCTGACTTTTGTCTAGGAACAGAGGAGAACAGATCCCAGTACCATGGATCCAATGAATCACCTGTATGAGATCTGGCCCTAACAGTGGTTGTCTTAGCAGCAGCCTTCTTCCTCAGAACCACAACTGATACCGTAGGAGCCTCGAGCAGATCTAATGCTCAGACTGCCAGAGTACACAGAGGTAATTCTGGTACCAATTCCAGTTGTCTGAGGCACCTTAATCTGGTCAGATGCTTAAAATGGAGCAGATACAACTATTTTTTCTTCATGCTCCAACTTCTCAAATCTGAGAGGCTTATCTAATAGGTCTTCCTGAAATAAGAGTGTGTGAAGTCTGTTCTATCTCTCCTTACATGCTCTAGATATAAACCTAGAGCAGAGAGCCTTTGCCAAGACATGCTAGTTACTTCACATCATTGTCCAAAGTTGGAAAACTGCCAGACAGGAAAGCACATCTTAAAATCCACTTACTTCTTTTTTAGATCAGTCATCCTGCATGGAACCCTAAAATAACTGTAACTCCTCACTCTAACACTATCACTTATCAGTAAAACTATAATAGAAGAACAACTCTATTTAAAAAAACAACAACCTATCAAAGCTCCAGGTCCATCAGACCCAGTGAGGTTAATTTACATCTGGTGTTGTAGGTACCATGTTTCTTTTTATAGCCTCACCCTCAGAACATCTGAATGCTAAGGGGTAGGAGAGGGCACAAAAATGCTCCTCTGCCAGGCATCGCTTGGAGAAGCTTCCATCATGTAGATTGCATTAGTGGCACATTCTCACAAGCAGGAATATGAAGAGCCTATATATAATGTATTCTTCCTCTCATGGAATAAACTATGGAGTACTGAACATTACCTGAAATAAGTATTGAGCTCCCACATATAGGCGACTACTACCCTGAGTCACCTATGAAAATTTTCAAGAATTTTTATAAAGAAATAGTTCTAAAATTAGAGGCCACTACAAAGAAAAAATTCAAACTGATTACGGATTACTATTGACACACAGCAAGAATAATAAAAATATAAAATTAATTAAAAATATTTACAAAATTAGATTTAAATTAGATATTTATTTAAAAATAGTTTTTTTAAATAAACCTGTTTAAAATTAAATTTGAAATTGATAACACATGTTAAGGCCTAATTTTACTATAATCTAATCTAAATTATATACAAAAAATATTTAGGAGTATGCATTTGCTGCCAAATTTTAAAGAAAGTCAAAACCACTGAACTGGTGAAAATCACCGCCTAAGCACCTGGAACCAGAGGTTGCTAAAATGCTAAACTAGCTTTGGACAGCAGTAGCCTCTTCTGCAGATAGAGAGAATATTTTTTGCAATAGAGCTTATTCAACTCAATGACTAGTTTGTTCAAAGTTGAGACACTGATTGGGAGTTGACAAAAGCAGGAAAGCTTTTCTTCTTCTTCCAGTCTAGATGTGAGACAGCAAGATCTACTAGTTCTAAATTGAAGAACATGGGGACCAGAAAAAATCAGTTCAATTCATCACCTACACATACTTCTTTTGTTTAATCAATCAGTTTTAAATGTAAAACCTCTTTTGATAAACTGTTTGATAAACATTTTCATATTATCTAGTAAAGTTAAGGTAATTTTATTTAATAAATTCAAATGCTGCTTTTATGCATGTAATTGAATTTGAATTTCCATCCAAATAGAACCTGAAACAAAGCCACCAAGGAGTGGGAGAGCAGTACAGAGCACCAGCTGCCCATTCTCAGTAGCTCCCCTCACTTACGCTCCTCTCTCTCTGCCCCCCCCCTCCAGTCACAGCAAATTTCCACCCTTCACCCTCTCTCCTTCCATGATGGAGAAAGGAGGGGGCTAGTCCCCCTGGCCTCACTTCATTACACCCCTGGACCTACCTGGGTTCTGGAGTCTACGCTGGTAACTAGGAGGGTAAGCTGTAGAACACCCTAAGGCACTGTGGTCTAACTGCCCCATGTAGACTCTGCTGGTATGAACTAAAAGGTACCTAGTCACCCCAGCCTGTGGCTTGTGGTGACAAATCCAGTCCAAAACCCACAGGAAACCTCTGCTGCTTCACTTTTGAGACCTTGACCGTGTAGTCTGTGCATGTGACTCAGTGCTAGTGGAGAAGAATGTTTATACAAGTGTGTGTGAGCTTGCTGTGACCCAAGGACCTCTTGATGCCAACTGGCAGAGGGCACAAGTGTGCA